TGATCCCGATCATATCAGCATGAGTCCATGTAAAAATATCGATATTCTGTCTAAGGAAACTCGTTAAATCTATAGCGAGCTACGGGCTGAGATTACTCCCGATTCTCAACATTCGCGTCGACTCATTCTGGTCAACAGATACCTCCGTTAGAGACTCAACCGACCCACTGTAGGAATACTCTTCCTGAACACAAGGATCTATACAATCTTCCACTAGACCCAGTTGTGGCTCGATCCTACTGATTGCCATTGTCTGCTCGGGAATGCTCAATGGCTTCCATTTCCCTTTGCATGCCATCTACACTGCCCTTACATAGCAGTCGTGAGATTCACTTAGAGACCCTTTCATTTCCCCACACCCCATCGAAGTAGGAAACTTCATCTTCAGATGATAAATGAAGGTGAAGGCCTTGAAACTTCGTAGTAGAGGTCAATCCAGAATTCCATTAAAAGCAGACAGACAATCTACTACTAAGAATTCTATCATCTTGGTCACTTCGTTAGTCTCACCCAAAGTGCTGGGAAGTGCGATCGTTCCCTTGGGAATCAGATGATCCCTAGTAAAACCATAGAAAGGGATAAAGGTAGGCTTCAGATCTACCTCATCCAACTGCATCTCCTCAAAATCTCGTTGAAATAGGATGTTCACGGCGTTGCCATTGTACACCAACATCCTGTGGACTTTGCACCGGCATATTTTAGGCGCGATGACGAGTACATCCTTATGGGGGTGATTCAATCGCACCGCGTCTTTCTCTAAGAAGGTAATCTCTTCTTCTCTGTGAACCTTAGTGGGTCGTGAGGCCGTGCTCATCACACTCACGGGGTCATGGCAAGCCTCCCGAGCATACCTTTCTTGGGCACCTCGAGAATTTTCCATAAGGTGCGGTCCTCCAAAGATGATCCCCACGAAGTAGAGACCCTTACAACCACGTCATTTCTTCCCCTATTCCTCTTGATCCTTCTCCCGAACGGGAGTCGGACCATCGACATACTCCTTGAAGTGCCCCTGCTTGATGAGGTCTTAATTGCTTGCTTGAGAGCCCGACACTCATCGGTGTAGTGCCCATTATCCTAATGATAACGATAATATTTCTTGATGTTTCTCACCGAAGGGGGATTATTCATGGGTGTCGACTCTCCAAGCAGGCTGGCCTCTTCTGACTTGTCCAGAATAGCCGATACTGACACGTTTAGAGGAGTATACAGATTCTTGTCGCGATCACAACGAGGAACCTAGGCATAGGATTTCTTGGGCTCAAATCGCTGCTTCTTTCCCTTCCGCTGATCGTAATTAGCCCATCTGCAATCAGCTCTTCTACTACCCTCCCCCTAGTTAGGAGCACTGGTCGAAAGACCAAGGTCGTGGCGATTGAGAACGACCACAAAATTCTCTATTCTGAGGTACTTCTTCGTAAGGTTGTAGAAGCGGGTGAGGGAAATGTCATCCTCAGATTGTAGCTTCTTCCACAGGTTGGTTTGTGAGCGAACTCCTGCAATAATGAGAGTCTGAACAGATTCCTCAGGTGTGTTAGCCACCTTGTGTAGCTCCCTGTGAAATCTGTCAATGTAGGACTTGAGGGATTCATTCTTTTCCTGTCATATATTGCTCAGATAGCTCAACGGCATTGAGAACTTCCTATTCGTCTGGAAGTATCTTAAAAATAACGAGCTCATCTGCTGCCACGAGTTAATAGATACTAACGAAAGCGATATAAACCAGCGTTTGGCATGGGCAGTTAGGGTCACTACCAAATAGTGACATTTGGCCAAGTTGGAAACTTAATAAAGCTCCATGAGATTGTTAAACTCATAGAGGTGATCCTACGAATCAGAATTTCCATCAAATGCTCGCATATCGGACATTCTAAACCTCGATGGGAGAAGAGCAGCTAACAATGCCGGAGAAAAGAGAGACGCCTCATCAACCTACCCACGCTCATTTTGCTGAGCTCTAAGCTGATCCAAAGCTCACTGTAACTCATAAATCTGAGGCAACGCAACTACCCGAGGATCATTTTTCGCAACGTGGGTTCGACCCTCATGATTACGGTTGAGAAAAGACCGTAGATCGGACTCTTCCTCACCTCGGCCAGAGGCTCCGGCATATCTTGACACACGTTGACTGGAGTTGTGTGAAGGCAATGAAAGGTTCGGGGAGTTAGCCCAACCTCTGCGGTGGTCAGAACCGACCCTCGGTTGCTAGGGGTTTCCTTACCTTGCACTCTTTTGGGGGTGCCCATACGATGTGGCATGGGACGGTTCATGATGCGACATGTTGCCAAGTCGTAAAACCACAGGTATTCTACCTGTTTTGCGACCGATATTTGCTAGTCCCTTGGAGCCCTTTGGCCCATTATCTACCACCTGTTTTCCTTTGTCTTTACGCGTTGTAGTGCACACGACATGGGCCTTCGCCTGTTTCCGTGCTTTAGCGTGACCTACATGCGTTTTTGGCAGTGGCACTACCTTGTCGGACTTGGGTGGTCTGACCTGATCCAAATGGTCTAACCTTCGGTTAACCGTTTGAAGAGTATTATTAAACATCTCCAAGTAATCCATCACAGCTGGGTTAAGCTGTGAGCTCGAAGGAATGTCTGTTGCAGTACTATGCTGAATCGGGGGCACTTCGGGAGAAGTGTCATCCTGTACCCAAGGGATCTCCTTGTTGTTGGGGCTAGCTCGCTCGGTTTCGAAACCACGGGCCATTTGTTAGCGAATCGACTTGATTGATCAGAGATTCTTGATGAAGAGCGGATACTAAATCAGACCTTCTTTCTAGCATCAAACTATTGATGCTCTATTTTGACACCAACTATTTGCACGTGTAAAGTGCTAAGCGGACTTAGAAATTACACGTGAACTGGAAAATGAAATAAATAAAAGGAAGACGATTTTTAAAGTGGCTCGGATGCTCAAAGCGAATCCTACATCCACTGTCTTTTTATTTATGAAAGATTACAATTAGGTCGCATGTAACAATCAGAGGGAACAGAAATACAGAGAGAGAGAGAGAGTGTTTATATTATCAGAATTAGAATCCCCAAAAATGAGAGGGGAGCTCTCTATCTATAGTAAGAGGTTTCTGGGTAATGATTACGGGTCTGTCAGCGGGCAGACGCCGTACAGTTCCTACCCTGCTTCCTATTGGTCGGTTGTATGGAAGATATCCGTAAATCGCGCAGGGCTTTGGTAGGTGGGTGACTCCCAGCCACTCACTTGTCAGGCATTTACCTGTTAAGCTGATGACAACCTTACTCCTTCTGTCATTGGACGATATGACAGCGCCTGGATGGCATAATACCTTTCTGAACTCTGATTGGTCCTTACTAATATAAGCCTACATCAGCCCTTATTTTTTAGGCATAACATACGTCATTCCTGTCAAATCTAAATAAACACTATAAAAAACACCAATTTAAATCTTTATAGCATCCACAATGGCTCTCATAATTTTGTTTTGTTTCTTGAACAATGGTGTACTTTCGTTTGGTTCATGAGAAAATCTTAGAAAAGGAAAGGAAAAAAATCATTTTCAGTTTGTGTAGAAGTAAGCCAATTAATGAGGTCGTCTACTTTAAACGCGAGAGAGAGATAAAACATTAATGGTTGTATTGAAGACCGAGATTTCTCAACAACCAATTGGCTTTGAGGCTGCTGACTGGGAGTTACATCATAAGTCATAACATACATGGTTAAAAGTCTTTTGTTGTCTAGAACATGGACGATGAAATTCCGAGTTAACGATATATTCCCAACAAAAAATGTCACCAACCCTCAAACTTTTAAAATATTTATTTACTATCTAAATATTCCTCTTATTTGGGTGAAAAATAAAGTAATTTACTAAAAAAAACCCTCTCTTTTCGCTTCTTTTCTTAGCATCGTCCATTGCCGTTGTTGTCAAACGTTAGAGAGTGCCAACGACCAAAAAATCAACAAACGAATCACAAATATTGTAAATAAACATTTTTCAATCGTTCCAACCCAATAAACATAAAAACTGAACGAATCAAACTCAATTAATTGATCAAAACTCGAAAAATTCTTGGGTGGAGAAGCTTCAATCGCCGATGATTGGTGAGCAAACGGGATCGAGAATATTGGAGCTTTTAGAGAGGAAAATCCAAAGAGTTGATTGGTGGTGGCAAAGACAATTTCTGACACGGAAAACAATCGAAAATCAACTTGGAAGTTAAAAGGTCACATAGTGCACAACCAACGATCGACGAGCAAGGGACAGTGATGGAGGTAAGGGTTTTGTAGAGTAGGTTGTGGGGAGTGTGATGGTGTCTGGGTGAATTTGGCAAAGAAATTGACCAAAAATTCAGCTTGAAGAGTCGATCGTGTGAATGGAGGTGGTGGTGGGAAATGGTGAGTGATGACAGCAAATGAGAGGCTTGGACTTTGTAGAGGAGGTGATGGAGATTTTGTGGGTGGTCTCGAAAGTGATTTTGAACGCCGAGATCGATCGAAAAACGACAAAAATCGTCAACGGCGACGTTGCTAACTTGCACCATCCCTTGCTAACGCACACCAACACTTATCTTTTTTTCTTCTCCGATGGTCAAATGTTTGTTAACCATTCTACGCACACTAATAATATATTTTTGACCATTTTACCCTTCTTCACAATGAAAATTACTAAAAAAAAATTGTGCTATGGGTACTGACAGGTATTTAAAAAATAGGTGGATATGAATTTGTCAATGAGCCATTTTTTGGGTGGGAACATGTCATGAACTCAAGAAATTCCATTTGTTTCATTTTCCTAAATTTTCTTGCCACTTTAAATCCTAGTATTTACTTGATTAAATATATATAATTAGGTAAAGGGTTATCTTTTGCATAAGAAAAATACTTCAATTTCAGTAGCATAATCTGGTTCTGAATGTCTCGGATATGAATTTACTACATTTCAATTTCGGTAACATCTAATACTGCAGTGGTTGCCCAAACAAGAAAAGCACCATCATGTCTTTATTATCTTATAGCTAAAATACCCAGACGGCCTCATTATGCAGACGCAAAATTTATGGAATGAACATTTAAATGGTTCATGTATTCAATACAAGAGCAAATTAGAAACAAAACAATGAATAAAAAAATTGCCTTCTTGTTTGCTATGCACATTCACCCAACACGCATGTGCAAGATTCGGAATGATGATCCATACCTGAGCTGAAGGGTCAATAAATCTACACATGCAACATAAATTAAGATACCTAATCAGGCTGGGGATCAGCTGGATCTGCATCACGACCATGGTGGAATCTCACCACTATGCATGTTATATTGTCAGCACTGCCACGGGTAAAAGCAGTCTCTGTTAATTTCCGAGCTGCAGCCTCAGGTTCTTCTTCCGTTTGGGCAAGTGCAATAGCATCCTGAACATGCAATGCATAAGTGGAAAGCAATAGAGGAGATCTAAGAATATTACGCCAGTAAAACCACCTTTTGAAGGCTGGCTTGCAAAGAAACACACATTACTAAAGCATATTGATTGGGCGTATTTTAAAGGTAAATGTCAAATAGACTGGTTTCTATATTTCATATAGAGTCTTAAATAATCAACAGTCCTCAAACAAATCCACTTCAATATATTCTACACAAAAAGCAAATACTAGTCCACTACTGATATAATTCAATAAAAATCCAGGAAGTGATATCCCTTAAAAGTGTCAAAATGCCTTGTTCACAGGAGGAGGGGAATATGCTTACATGTATGTATTAGAGAGAAAAAGAGAGCAGGCTTACCTCATTGGGTACTACATCCCATAGTCCATCACTTGCAAGCACAAGCAACTCAAATTCTTCATCTATCTCTTGATCCTGTAAAAATACAGAAAACATAAATTGATTTCTAATAACTCGCAATCAACTGAAAAGCATCCAACGATAAACACAATGAATAGTAATAGTCATTATAAATAGTGGTTCCCAGATATACATATCAGGTTAGAAGCCACCAGAAATGTACAGGCTAGCATGAAAAAGGGTTTTGCTAACTGCAATTTCATATAGGTTATGCAGAAAAGTTAGAGATTAATTGAACCCCCACTTTCTACAACTTAGAGCGACATGATTATAATTAATCAATGATGCTAATGAACCAGATCTTAGAGAGTTAGAATAGGAGTAATTTGAGCAGGGTAAATTTACAACTCAGGGAAGTCTCTTCGTTGTAGTTACAGAGATGTAAACTTTCCACCAGTCTCTAAACTAGATGAAACATAGCCCATAAAAACCCCTGATTATTACTACCCAAAGGGGCAAAAAAAAGTTAACAAATTTAAATCCTTCACAAGATAATAAACAAAGATATAGATAATTACCTGGATCTCAGGTTCAGCAACAACAAATTGCTTCAACATACGGTTACCAAATGCACGTGACATAGCTAGAACACCTCCAACTCTCCAAGTGCCTGACAAAACAATAAAAGGAACAGCAGTCTATCAAGGCACTCGTTCATGGTTTCCTATCCTAAACCTTGTCACTCCAAGACTTATGTCAAACTCTTTCTGACACAACAAAAGAATGTAATAAGCAACTAAAGTTAGTTAATAAGCACAACTTTTAGCAACCGTAGGCTTCGAATTATTGCTCAACCCACAAATCAGTTGCATTATATACTCTCTGCTTGGAAATTATCATGACAGCAATTATATTGACAATTTGCATCTTTTTACTTCAATAATAAATGTTATACAGTGAATAATTTTACCTGCCCACATTACAACGCCGCCAGCATTTTCAATTCTTTTCCGCTCATCACTTCTGTTGGGTTTATGATCCTCAGAGAGAGGGATAGCTAAAAGAGAAAATAAAAAGATAATGCTTTAAAAAACGGTTAGACAATACTCAAATTCATTTTCATATGCAGTAAAAAGTAAATAATTAATACAATCATGAGCCTATTCACTGGTTAAAATGACCAACAACCCATAGAACCACCAGCAAAAGTAAATAAATAATGCAATGTTAAACAACAGCTCAGATTTCAGATACAACACTGGATGGGCTGCCCTGGGTTATACCCTTAGAGCCTCCTTGAATATGAACAGTAAACCTTATTTCATAGATTCAAAAGTTTAAACATACATATATAAGTACATTAACTGTCTCATTTTATCTGTTACATTTAATTTGCTTGATATGAAAATAACTTTGAGTATTTATCAAAGTATAACTAATTTTGAACACATATAAATGCAAAGCGAATGTAGTACATAAGTTTACATTGAGAGTTGAATGAAGTAGAGAGAATTAGAATAATAACCAGTGTTACTCTAAGGAAAAAAAACTCATTTATATTTTATAACATGCATTCTATTAGGGGGAAGAAAAAAGTCAATCTAACATAATTTTGTGGCTACCCCATGTTCCTAAAAGCAATACAACTATACTTTAGACCTTTAGCATTTTAGATATCGCCATATTACCCCTTGAAGATTTTCAATATTTATATTTTATAAATATCCATATATACACTCTCTTAACTTTTTCTAGCCAAAAAATGCATGTAAATCCACACATGCATAGTCACTTCTGGGCAACAACATTATTGCATTGATGCCTCACATTGAGCACAATCACATCATGCAACAAAAAAAGAAACTTTAAACGCATAAATCAATTAGCATATGATGAATTTCTCATAAGGTCAAATATTCAATTTCATCTTTTATCACAACTCCATTAAATATTTACCATATCCGAAACAACCATTTTAGCTGCAATAGGCAGTCCATTGTGATTAAGCATGCTGTTCTTTTCCACATTATACTTTAGAACTCATTTACTTACCTCCAAAAGAACTAACACAGAAAATATAAATGTAAACCATACCTTTACCAGCCTTTGATATCACAGTCCTTGAATCTCCAACATTGGCAACATATAGGTGGTTACCAACCAATACTGCTGTTGAAGCAGTAGAACCATCATCCCGGAAAGTATCTCTTTCAGACTCCAAAAAGTCGACATCAGTCTGTTGATATGTTTCACCTGCAAGCTCACCCGGGTCACTGGATGGAATCACACAAATCAAAATCAAAAGATTGGAAAACACTCCATGCAGGATCCCACACACTTGACCCATAAATGACAGACTTAGTGCCACAAGATGTTTCATTCCGCCCTAGACAGAAAAGTAAACATCTGAATGTGCATGGGATCCTACACTGAATGCTGAGAACAAAGGATATGTTACAATCGTATTGACCAATTCCTTTATGACAATGTATCCATAAGGATCACAACTACGTCATATCAGATAAGTATGTACGCACTTATTGCCAATTTAGTATCTGTCATGAATTGTGGATGCTTCACGAGATTCTCAAATAGGTGTTCCTTCAAGTACTCAGCAGCACGAGAACCACCATGACCTGCAATGGTTATATTGTATATTTTATAAAAATAAACAATCCAACATAGACACAAAACAAATTGTCTTTGGACAGTTAACAGCAGTTACTCTCCATACACAAACATCAGAATAAGAGGATCACATGGACAGGCTCAAAAGTTGATAATTAAATAAGCTTCTGAAACCTACAAGCAAACATTGACCTTGGACCATTATTATGACAATCAATGCAAATAAGTTTATCTTTCTAAGAGGATCCTATTTGAATCATACAACAAGCTGCAGCTCAGATCCCAGGTGTCGGCTGACTTTACGTTTGTAAACCCTAACTTCATTCCACGTATAAGACATCATGTTACGGATCATAATTACCATACACACAACGGTCAAGACTGACATGACAAGAAGACTTGTAATAAAGCATGTCTTTTCCCATCAGTCACGTGCATGTTGATAACCAGTTGAAACACTACTTCCGTATAGCAGTTTCAATCTTCTTTTGTCACCATGTTGACACTTGGTGAAAGTATCCATGTTACATTGCTTTAATGCCCATAATTTTATATCTTTCCCCAAGGCAAGAGATGATCAGGGAAAATCTAACCATCAAAGATTCCAAACATGCAGACCGCTTGCCCATCAATCGTGGAAGTCTTAACATTGAAGAAATCCTCCATTGTTGCCCTCTTTCCCCTAAAACTTGAATAACCACAGCTCAGTTTTCCATCTTCACTGTCCATCACAAAAGCAACCAATAGTAAGTTTAAACCTGATTATTTATCTAGCACGTAAATATCACGAATAGCATAAGATATAACCTCTACAGCAAAACTTTTGATCATTTTGTTCAACAGTAAAACCTTAACATAAAACATTCATGTTCATTCTTGTGAGCACAAGAAACCGATTTCCCTCGATATAACTACAATTATAGGAAAAATGTTAGTAATGCTTGAATTTAATTAGATTTCTCCAGGTTCGTATATACTTTTAAAACCAAATGCTAAAAAATACCATCTCCAACTACTTTTTTCCCATTTCTACAAATAGAAAGTTTTCAAACAAATTCCATAAATTCTCAAAAACAAAGAAAGATACTCTATTTCCTCCACTATTTATTAAGCCACTGGGACATATGGCCAGTCAATTAAATAAGCAATCGAGTTCAATCCATACGCAATTCAATAAAAACGTGTAATTAATCAAATGCATAACATAGCAAATACATTAAAATCCTAAACAACCACGAGCTACACAAATATTGTCAAATGCAATAACTCATAATTACCTTTTCCATCCTCCACTAACATATCCACCGTCGTCTTCTTTCTCCGGCAATATATCGACAATCGGCCCGCGTTTTGCCGCCGCACCTGATGAATCAACCATCATCTTTAAGCTCCTTCTAAATTCGCAATTCCACGTATAATTTACACCGACACAGGCATGCAAACTCCTCCAACTGTTGCTTATTTGCACCCTCCTTTTCGTCAATATTCCTATTTTCCCAGCTCGTACAATCACACTCCTTAAACAACTGCTGCATACCATCTAAAATCTACCACTCTAACCTGCAATGCGAAATCTGAGAAAAAAAACGACGTCGTAAACTTCACAAAAATGCTGTCAGATTTTAAATCAAAGTTGTTTAAATCTAATGCTAACTTAATAAATATTACTTTTAAAAATAAAAATCATGTTCAAGAGAATATTCAAAGAATTACGGATCTTTGATTGAATGAATTTGCGGAAGTGGAGGTCCGAAAGAGAAGCGGATCGGATCAGAGGGAGCGTAGTCGAGGGAGAGGTGATCAGTTTCGGGTCGGATAAAGTGGAGGATCCGAATCTGATGAAACACGAAGTTTTGAATTGCAAATAAGATTTTTTTGAGAAGCTTTCTCTCTCTGAAAGAGAATCTGGAAACCCTAGAGAGAGAAAGAGAGATTGAAGAGCTGTCAGTAAGTGTGAGGTGATTTATATATAAAAGGAGAGTGTGAGATTGCGAAGTGGAGGAGAGAGCTGGCTTTTTTTAGCTTGGCAGTTGGCACCGAAGAGAAGCGGCAACGTGGCACTTTTCATGCAATCACTTTAGTTCTTATCTGCTATACTCAATCCTATCATACCTCCTCTTCCTTTTTCTTTTTTACAAATCAAAACAAATAAACTAAAACAATAATATCTCATTAAAAGTTAACAATTATCACAAATATATTTATGATACCGTAGCTAAATGACACGTGTTGTGTCCTGGATTTCACAAGAAAATGATAGAACTCAGTGGTAGAGATTGAGAACATCATTTTCATTTCCTTTTCTATCCTCATGTTTTGTTGTTAACATCTAATTAACTGAATTTTTTTAATTAATGTTCTATCATTTTTTCACAAATAATTAGGATGGTAATAAGGTAATTAACTACGTCTAACCTGACTATTTGATTAATATTCTTATAAAGCAACTCCTCTTTGATTATTAAATAATTTTAATTGATCCACCCTTTTCTTGAATCAGAAAAATATTGTTTATTTATAACAATATTACTTATTTTGCTTTATAGGATCGTATGAATTAATTATGATGATAATGTATTGATTAATTGATAATTAATCCCTTTCAAATCACATTAGTAGATAAGGCCTTGTATGCCGTTTAAATTGTTTCAAATTTAATAACCCAAATCTAATAAGCCAAATCAATCAATCTAAATAACAAACCCAAAGCCCAATTCTCAAATAATAGCTTTGTGTGGGTGGCCACTGCTTGCGGCTATACGGGGTAAGGCGTTTGGGAGGAGAGTGGGTGGTAGATTGGTGGTGGGTGGGTGCCACGGGGTTGGGGCAGCGGATGTTGCCAGGGGTAAGACAGTGATAGTTTCATAGACAGAGTGATAGTCTTATAAGTTCGATTGGGAATCAAGAGAATGAAAAGATTAGCCCCTGTCCAGTTTACCGAGTGGCGGTTCGACGGGTTTGAGGTTATAAGTGTGCCACTAAATTAGTGTTAAATGTTTTTTTAATTTAATTTTAATAAAAAATACATGAAAATACGTTTTTATCCTATCAAATAAGAAGGGAATTAATGTGTATAAAATATAAGATATTGTAGACGTAAAAATCTACCTGTACGGAAGGAGAGACTGATCCCGTAAGGTTGAGGTCACTAGCGATCTGCTGCACCTGCACACGTAGAGAAACAAACGTGAAGCGACGAAAAACACCGGAGTAGTGTTTGCCGTAGGCACTCCGACGCTCAAGTCAGCAAGGTTGAAAGAGGCTAATTTGGTAAGGGCTAGGGAGTAGAGAGGTTACCAGAAGTCTAGTCGGGGACTGTGACTACGGCTGTAATGCGAAGTTCACAAGCGGGAACTCCGGGATCTGAAGGTGTAATGTCATCTGCCTTGGGAGAGGGCTAGCCTCTGTTTAAATAGTGACTTTGTGGTTTCCCAATCCTAGTGTGATTGGGAGTCCTCGTAGTAATCGTTCCTTCCAGGGATGTACCTTCTAGCCCCCTTATCCTGGCGTGAAAGGAAGTCCGGGTATGATTCGGATATGGACCTTGGAGGAATTGGGATAATAGTGGACTGCCTTATCAGAGTTCAAATAGGAGTGTGATCCGTAGGTGACCGTGAGCTCCGAATTAGACCATAGGCCCAGATGGTGTGCTGGGATCAGGAGGCTTGGGTCTAAATGGTGTGGACCGACTGTACTTCATATCGAATGGGCCTCATCTGGGGAATTCTGGCTCAGGCCGCATCGGGACTAGGCCTAGGCTTTCCTCTTTGTTAGAAGTGTTATCATATTTGGGTCGAGAACATTTTTTGACCCTAACAATTTGCCCCCCACTCTTTGAGTTAAAGAGTGCTTAACTTAGAGAGTAGGCGTCGCCTAAGGTGTATCCGGTCGGCCTTTGTGGTCGACCGATTAGCCGCATGACCGTGCCCGCAGTTGGTCAGTTCTTCGGTACGACTGATCGGTTGGATGGGTGCGACCCATGGTCGTGAACAAGCTCGGTGCCTTTATTTGAGTCGGGGTGTGTGATCAATCCAAAGGGATTCCATCGATCGGTGCATAGGGTCGAATGGGCGAACAGTCTAACGTACATGTACTGGCTCGGTGTGCCCGACCGGGTACAGAAATGAAGAATTGTCTACTGAAGGTGCATTCGCTCGGTTCGCCAGGCCGAGTGGGTGAATGAATGAGTTATACGCTGTAGGTGTACTCAGCCGGTGCTGCCAGCTGAGTGGGTTACATTAGTCCCTACTTGGTTACGGTGCTATGGGATTGGTCGAGTCCGAGCGAGGGTATGAACTCGTTCGGTGTAACAACTGCTGAAAAACTCATACAATGCATGCATAATAACAATAGAAAATTGGGCCCAAAGTTTTCTTTTCATTACAATTCATATGTCTTTTATACACAAAAAGTACTGTTTACAAAAATTCGTTTTAAAAGACAAAACAGGGGAAACAGTGTAGCTATCTCTCTTCGCTTGCCGACGCCCCGCCGACTGCATCATCACCTAGATCCTGCATCCACAAAGGAAAATAACGGGGTGAGCACAAAAATAATGCTCAGTAAGTAAAACCCTCTATCTGTCTTTCCCCGTATGTATAACTCTTAATTCTTTCCTTATACTTTTTCTGATTCTATCTCTGTTTCTACTAAACATCATGGCCTCATCTTACCGGAGGTACGGCCGGATGGTGTTCACACAGCACCATCTCACTCTCTATGGCTATCGGGTGGAATTCACACAGTACCAACCCGTTCTTAGTGACTACCGAGTGAGGATCACAAAGCACCAACTCGGTTCTTCCTAACTATCGGGTGGAGATCACCTAGCACCTACCCGTTCCTCATGAATTTTGGGTAACGATCACCAAGCATTTACCCGTCTCTAGTCACTATCGGGTGATGGTCACAAAGCATCAACCCTCTTCTACTAAATGTCGGATGATGATCACAAAGCATCAACCTACTTATCTATTACTAACCGGGTAGTGGTCACAAAGCATTTACCCGTCTCTACTACTCATCGGGTGACGATCACAAAGCGTCGACCCATCACTAAGGGCTATTCGGGTGGTGGTCACAAAGCATCAACCCGATCCCCATAACTATCGGGTGATGATCACAAAGCATCATCCCAACTATACTACTCTTCTAATTCACTCTATTGTAGTACTTTTCAATGCTCTCTACCCTTAAAGTGGTTGTACCCACCAAGCTCTCTACTCATAGGGTAATTGCATACACAATTTTCCTACACTTTCTTAGGTCACTTTTCAATGCATATAATAATGCATATGGATGGTTCATCTCCACTAATGCACTTATGAAATGCCAACATGCCATATTGCAAGAATTAAGGTTCACTAATCATACTCAAACCTCTATTAGGCATTTCATCAAACATCTCATGTGCACTATAAAACTCTAATATAGCAATGATTCTAAATCTTTCTCTAACCATCCAAAATGGGGAAAAACCCCTTCACAAAGCCATAAAACCTGTCAAACAAAACACTTCTAAAAAGGGATCCACAATACCCCTTCAATTCCATCTCAAACTACCTTTCCAACCCAACAACTCATTTCTCACATTTGCAAGATATAAGCATTCTTAAGGCATAGAAATCTCTATTTAAACCTCCATACATGGCATAATACATGTACATCACATACATACATCATTTCTATCAAAACCCTAATCAAGAAAATTCATAAATCTCAACTTGGGTTGGGTTTTACTTACTTGTTATGGAGAGACTTCACCAACTCTTCTTTTCACTTGTTTTGCTTGACTTTCTCTCTACTCTTAACCAAAAGAACAAAAACCTTCAAACTTCAATATGGATCAAACCTCACAAATCACACAACTTAAGTAGAAATCCTTACCTTAGGAAGCCTTAGGTTGCTTTTCTACCCCAAATCACTTCAAAAACCCCTTGAAATTCCTTGATCAAAAGAAAAGAGAAGTTGAGAGGAGTAAAGATGGAGAGTTGCGTTTGAGAAGAAGAAATGAGGGGTTTGTTAATTCTAATTCCTTTTAATGAAATATAAACACAATCATTCCCATTTTGCCCTTACTCTTCTTTGGGAATTCCATCTATATCCTTTGATTCATTACAAACTCACCCCCATAGCAACATATTCTCCATGAAAAATCCTTACAATTAACTCCCCACTTTTCCTGCTAATTAGGGGTAGAATGGTCAAATAGCCCTTAGGGAAGAAAATATCTAAAACTCAACAAACAATTTAATCGGCCTATAACCGCGGCGAAGAAACTTCTGTCGCCGCGGCGAAACTGTCCAGCAGCTCCCCTGCGGCTTCAACACCTCTTCGCCGCGGCGACGACTGAAACACTAAACTTCTTCTATTTTCAACCAATTTCAGGGCAAACATTCAACACAACACTAAATTAAACAATATTACCAAAAACCAACAGAGCGAAAGAGGAAACAGTAACTACGTACCTCATGTGGGGCGTTACATTCGGTCAGTGTGGTCGCTCATTCGGTTGGGGTGACCGAGTGGTGAAATTTATATTTAGCTGAGGTGTTTGGTATGATCTTGGATAACTAAGGCTGGGTGGTTAGATACGATGATGTCGATCCTGCTCGGTCGGATAAACCGAACGAATGGTTACGTCTCGGGGATTGAGTGTAACTGGACTGAACATCTCTTGACACGTGCATGATCGGGATGCCATCTAAACTCGGGCAAGAAAATTAAAAGCTTGCGGTTTTCAATGTCTATTCGTGTGGTGACACGTGTTACCTGACACCTTTTTGCTGATAAGTATCTAGGCTCGCGACTCTTCGTTTCATCTCCCATTTTTCTTTTCTATTCGCGTTTTTCTTTGAAGCTTAGGCTTTCTTCACAGCTTCTAAGGATTCCGAGATTTGGCCATTTTCATGGTAAAACTCCTTCTTCTTAGCTTTTTTTGTTTGGTTCCGGTTTTCTTCGTGTTTGTGCGCTGTTTTTTAA